CAAACACAAACAGGCACACATAATAATAGGAATAATATGTACAAAAAATGTAAGGTGCGTAAAAAGGCAGTAGAAAGAAATATTACTCTATTAATGTTCACTTACCGTGACAAGATGTAAAGTTTTAAATTGGCGCTCATATGATCTTATGCAGTTGCGAGCGCCGTAAAACTCTCTACTAAAAAAAAAAAAAGTTCTAAATGCTTTTCACAAAGTAGGACTCAAACAAGCTTTAAATTCAAAATTAAAATTGTTAGAAGTATATAATCGCAATCAAACCTCGACTTCAATAATGCCGTCTAAAGCAATTCCACGAGCATGAGCTGTGCGTCAAACAAGGTGTTTATGGATGTATCAAAGGAGAAAATCTGACAAGCAAATAGGCCAGGAAAAGCTCAACGTCTGATGACAAAATCCTTCAAGTCGTCTAACTAAACACAGCTCACAGTAGCTAAGCATCTCATACTGATTGCTCCCTTTCGCAATGTGAATAATTAACCTCCTGTTGCCGTGACGTTGTCAAAATACAAAGACTTATATACGTTGGGACATTAATCATGAGCACACAGCTCAACACCCCATGGGACGTGACGCAAATGTTAGTAAAAACGGACCAATGCAGCAGACATCCCGATCAGACAAAAATAGGTCCCACTGGCTGGGAGGTGGAAAAAAACTCGGTGGAACTATATCACTTGGAGCGCCAACACCCACACACACGTGCTGAACTCACCACCCTCCGCAAACAATGGACATGTTGCACTTCTTGTGAGATCAATGGTTTATCTGACAAGAACGTGTTTTTTTTCGGAAGTGGGGTTAATTTTTGTTTTGTTATGAATGACACCAAACATAATGATACAGGCACTGATTTAAGCTATTTGGACGTGTTCAGACTGCTACAGTACAGCTCATGTGGCGGTCTGGATCTGTGTCTCTCTCGTCTTTGTGGTGGCCCCATATCGTCCTGATAGACTTGGATCTTAACTAAGCCGGTAGCTGATCTGTGAAAGCACAAATCTTCCAAATAACTGGCAGTTCAACGAAATCATAAACTGACCAGCCAATTCAACGCATGTTCACATTAAAGATGAGAACATTTTCAGTGGTCTCGCGGGTCGGGTCTAAGGCCTCGGGGACTGATTTTCACTCACTTCGAGCCCTTTTTACTTTTGGTATTTTCCGATCTCTCATTCAGTCTAGATTATATTATTGACACAAGTCGCTGAGTGATTAACATTAACAGACTTCAATTTTATTGGGTTCTTCGAACTGTACCAACATTTTTTAATGTTTTACCTCGTTTTTCTCTAAACACACTTTTCCACCACTTTTTACTTGCTTTGCCGTTTTTTTTCCTCCACAATTAAACATTTTTTTTCTAACACGTGGACTTGAAATTTACAGGTAGTTGGAGAAATGGTTTATATTTGCTGTGGGCTGGTTAGCTTTTAGCATTTTGCTTTAAAATTTGTTTTACAAAAGAGTTTTTATGGATCAAATTCCATATCCCCGACTTTTGAGAACAATTTTGGTTACTTTCTAGGCATAGTATCCAAAAATAAATCAAAATAGCCAGCTGCAAGCCCCTATTAATTTGTGATATTTTGTAAGTTACAGAATTTTAAAAATTTAAAATTGTGGAGAAATGGTGGAGAAAAAATATTCTATCCAATTTTCAAGACGGCGGCAGTTTCCATGGCAACGGCTTAAAAAATCGAGTGTGTCAACAGTTGAACAAGAATCTTTTGTCTCTGTCTTACTGCCTGTGACACACGTTGTTTCAGTTTGTCTTTAGTTTAAAATGTCCCGTAAGTATAGAACCCTCTTCAAACAGCGCAGCAACATTCTGCTTCAAACGTTTATGGACACAGACATTTTCTTTAAACACACATAAGTGAAGGAAAAGCAGAATAAGAATGAATGAACATTCCTGAAACTGGCAAGTCCTGACCACCTTTGAATTTGTTTCTATTCTTCGTGAACCGAAAATATATCGGCTCAATAGTGTAATATCAACTGTTATAAAGACAGAAGAATTGATTAAAAAAACTTTCAAGACCCGCTCAAGTGGCGCTAATTTATTCCTATATATTTAACACGTTCCGCTGAAATGGTTTGTTTTTTGAGCCAGTTTTATTTTGTACAAATTTGTTATTTACACTCAACAGCTGTTAATTCTCACTATAAAATGTTCGTCCCATCTAAAAGATTGAAGGGTAGGGGGTTTGATTTCAGAATCCTGTAGCTTGTCATGCCGATTTCGTATCTCATCTGGGGCCTGTTATCCATAGAGGTGGGGAGAGGGCTTGTGTTTACAGATAACCAGCTCAGCTCAATTCACTCGCATTTAGAAATTACAGTATCTATTTTCCGACTGGGCCCGTATCTAAGGAGCAAACCTGAGTCGAGGCAGTGTATATACTTTTACTCGCGGAAGACGTAGACTTAAAAAAAAGACCCACGCTTCAGAAGTGCTCGATTAGTTTATAGTCAAATAAAAAGCTGCATGGATCGACATAATGTAACAAGAGATAGTGTGAGCACGGAAAGGCGGAGACCACTTAGAGCGGAAGCACGGCAGCTGTCGTTTGTGATTTCAAGTGTGTCTGCATGTGTGTTTTCTCAGAGGATGCATCATACATATCTGATTATATTTAAGAGGGGGGGGGGGTGTTCACAGTGGAAACATACGCGCTTTGTGAACGATCTGTCACACCAGTAACATTTGTAACGCACCCATGCGTATCCAAACGTAGCTGATCTGAAAGCAAAAGCATGTCAGCTGCCGTATTGATAGAAATAAAAACGTGGAAAAATAGGCAAGAATGGTACAAAACAACTGCAGAGACAACGAAAAAGAAAGAAGAAAAAAAGATGACAACCACCGCAATAACATCGACGGCAACGGCAACGGCAAAGCAAATCAGACTCTGCTTATGTACATAACGATATCACAATGCTTTCTCTTCATGAACTGCGGGTTGGTTATTTCCTGAAGAAGACTCTTTCCGAAGGCAGTAGCAAATTAAATATCAATGAAAAGGTGTTTCTTCTGAGCTTGTGCGATACTGTAAATGTTGCGCTAAATGAGTTTATGTTATGGTTTTCTCAACAAAGTCACATAGAAGCTACCCCTCTTTCTTCCCAGCCCTCGGTTTTGGGAAAAGAGGGGAGGGGGTGGTTAAGTGAGTCCATCCCAAGGCGTTCGAGAGCCGATTCTGAGAAAGTAAAATTAGAGTACTTTTTGTTGAAATAAAATATAATCTTAACTCATGGAGGTTCCTGAGAATCTCTGACATCCACAGGGAGTTCGTGAGGGATAAGGTTTGGAAAACATTGGTTTATGATGAAAAAAATATGGACATGAAAACGATCTGGGATCCAGAGATATTTTTGACAGTGACACACGAAGACTTGTTTTGATTTAAATATTTTTCAATCTGGAATAGTCATAATACCCCTGTGACATAATATTCACATCTAAATACGCTTCCAACTATGCAGACACATTCATAAAAGGCAAGCGACCACAAACACGCAGACGAGAGAGATAGTAAGGCCGATCGACTTCGCCGCTAGCTGGTTTAAAGCAATGCAAACATCAAACGAGATATTCTAGCGATTTGCTTGTCAAAATCCCCCGGGTTATAAAATGAAAATTACAGACACAGAGACAAAGGTATGCAAGTTACCTGCGCTGCAGAATCCAGTGAGAAAGCTACAAGTTCTCAGAAGTAGGTGCTACCTGCTTGCGAGGATCGTGGTCGTCGGGAGTACGGCACCCAGGCTAACAGATGTGAGCTGTTGCCTTGAGGAGCACCAGGCCTTGCGTACGCCCTGAGGTCATTCTTGACCCATGGTAAAGACCTATCCAAAGTCAAGCGATTTCCCTGGATCCATTATACAGCAGTCATGACGCGCGCTGAGAGCGCTGTCAGCACGGCCTGTCGGCCATCCCACAGACAGCAAACTCTCTGTCTCTGAATGGCTTCCGATTATAAAGTTGTTTTCTCCTAAAGTTCACTATCCCATGCTATATAGATATTATCCTGTGATCCTCTTTGCCTGACGCCTGAAGGGAGTAAATTTTGTACCCAACTTTAAAGGATGGAATTACAATCACGTAAGTGAACACAAACACTCGGTTATGGATGATGTTGAAAGAGCTCTTTCACTCAAGCAAACTCCCAAGGGATAACATCATTCTCCTCTTCACACATCATTGTAGAGGGATGAATGACCTGAGGGAAGACGATTGTCTTGCTTTGTCTCTGTTTAATACATTGTTTGCACGACTCACAAGTGAAAGAGTTATACTCTAGTTGCACCTGATGGAGGAACCTCACTGTGGCATCAGTCGAATACTCTTCCGACGTCTCGGTAACTCCACAGGTTTCGGCCAGTATCTCGGAGGTACCAGAATCCTTGTGGATCATTCACATAGTAAACCTCTGGGTCCTGTATAAAGTAGAACAGACACAGACGTTAGGAAAACAGTGTTATGAATGGCTTCTACAAGGCAACAGCTTGGTTAAATGTATCAAGTACAATATCGTGATTAGTTCCGCAAGGTTAATTTATTTCTAATCGTTAAAAAAATTGTTTTCCATTATCTAGGGCAACCAGTTTGGATCAAATGCGAAGCATGCTGTCGCAGGTACACCCTTAACTAAGATGTAGGCTACATGAAATCAGTCTGCCACCCCCACATCAATTTTTTTCAAACTTCAAGACGTGTAAAAAGGAAAGAAAGAGTCATTGGACTTTTCGCCGATCGGCGTTCGGCCAACGTATCACCTGCATTCACGAGCCGGAAAATAAGAACATGTTTCAACTTCCTTTGTGCATAAGCTTAAACAACTCGAACACATCGGCAAATGTGAATTCTGCCTTGGTTGATTAAAGAAAAAACAAAAAAACCCAAAAAAAATCCCCCAAAACCCAAAATACATTCGTTTATATATTTTTTGCGTTTCCGCAACTTCCCATTTCAGTCTCTTGTGATCATCGAGATTTACTCTCAAACTTAATCTCCGTTTTCTGTATCTCTACGTTTCTGTCGTCTTTCCACTCACAGCTCCAGGCTAGCGTGGGTCTTGGATAAACTCTGCGAGTATTTTCCGATGTATTTATAAATGACGTCGGCACACTCGCTCCTTGTCGCCGGGGCCCCGAGATTCTACTCTAGGACTATCTGCTGCTTACATACATTAAAAACTGTTTGTAGGCAGACTAGTGCTTAGGGGAATTTTCACTTGCCGCGTTCTCGCAGCCCCATCCAGCTGATACCCGTTAGTTGAGCGGGGAGATATTACATTCCGAACACCGACAGTTTCCCGGAGTCCCCTTCCCCCCTTCCCCCCACCCTTTCCTACTCCGTTTCCTAACGCAACACGTTTTTTGCTCATCTCTTTCACGGTACATCTTCCTCTAGTGATACATACACACGTCCCTCACGACAACACACGAGCACACACACGCACGCACGCGCACACACTCACACACACACACACACACATACACACACACTAACGCGCACACACACGCCCACACACTTACACTTACACAGGGACAGTGAAAGAGAGAGAGAGAGAGAGAGAGAGAGAGAGAGAGAGAGAGAGAGACAGACAGAGAGAGAGTGAGAGGGAGAGAGAGGGAGTGAAGGGAGGGGAGAGAGAGACATAAAGTAAGATAGGACAAAATGCATCCAGAAGGAGTCTCATTCAGATACAAGCATAAAGCAAGAAAGTCAACGAAGAGGAACCATTAAAACTCACAAGCAGACACATAAACAAAGATGTTCATCGCAAGAACAACAACACGTACAATTACACATACGTTCATAAATAGACAAGTCTAGAAGAAGGCGCACAGACAAACAAACACACACACACACACACACACACACACACA